CTATTATGGTGAAATATTGAACTGGCTTAGTCTCTATTTGTGTAACCAAATCTCAATATTTTTTATTAATTTAAATTTATATACAAGTATATAAAAATGAGCTAATTCATTCTATATATGAAATCGTAACAACCACTACATAATTACTAAGACTGTGTTTCATTTTCAAGGCTTACCTCTCCTGAAAGGCTCAGCCTCCCCATCAAGTTGCCAATCTCAGTGAGCACATAAATAACAAAAGACAGACAAGCATGGAAAACCCTAACCCTCTACGGAAGCTAGTCAGAAGCATACACTTAATGAAATACATCCTATGACATTAAGGGGTGTGTGGGCTCGGCACAGAAGACAGACAAAAGGAAGAATCACGCATTGTGACTACAATTTATTTTTACATTATTAGAGTACAAATCTGAGCATTCCTAGCTAGAGATCATGCAGCTGGCTTGAATTAGCCATGCCACTGCTAAAGCCCTACTGCAGATCACACGTGAAAAGCCAGTGTTCTACATGGGCTGCTTCTATTCAGGTCTTCATGCAACGTATGCATGCAAGACATAAAGTAACCTGCTTCATACACAGCTTATTTTTAATATCAGAATTCATCCCCATTACTTTACATGGGTTAAAGAGGGCACAGTGTGCCTGTAACATCTTCCAGAATAATTTTCGACCTTTAAATTTAAATAAAGTACTGCAAGCTATTAATCATTTTTTCAATTTTATCTTCTCTACCTTTATATCCATTTCAAGTTGTTTGAAGTCAATTAGCATTGTGCCCTATCTCACTGCAAATATTTTTTCCAAGAGTATTGGAAAAACAAAAAACAATTCCACTAAACAGCAAGTTGGGTTGTTTTTCTTTGTTGTTTGAGGAGTTCTAACTGGTGTGGGGTTTTAGTTTCTTTTTGTTTGGGTTTTTGTTTTTTTCCTCTTCAAATCCAGTATGGGAACTACTAAAGTAAATATAATGAGAAGTACAGCACTATTAAAAGTTGACAGAGTACATAACCCTGTCAGGTGTGAGGATCAAAATCACCCACAGCAGAAATGCTTTACAAACATTGCTTTAAAATACCTGAGTTGAACTATGATAGAGGATAGCTGCAGCTATACATGAGATACTTACATCGATTTGTGCAGCTTATGTTTAAGTTTGGGGTTTTCTATTAGGTTTTGGTTTCTTTTAAAGACTCACAGCCTTACGATTCAGTGCATGTAACTAGCCAACCTTACACGTGCAGCAAAGATCCTGAATCTTCTCAATGACAAGTCTTCAAGTGACAGAATGACTAAATTATATGCTGGTTATAGCATGATGCTTATTCCTGTCCCACCCAGGTGGAGCTGTTCTTTACACTATGTGATTCAGCCATCAAATAGCATCATGCGTGTTTGAAAGGCCAAGAGGAGGCTGCATTGAGAACCTGTCAAAAACAAATGTGCAAACCTCTATGCAGCAGTCAGTAAATGTTCCTTGAATCACTCTTTTGTCAAGAAAAAAACAACCAAACAAAAAAAAAACCACCAAACCAAAAAAAAAAAAAAAAACCAACAAATCTTTGTTTCTATATGGTATCTTTTACACAAAGCTTCAGTTAAAACAGTTTTTCTTTCTGACTCTTGCCTTCATCTCTGTATGACAGGTCTTCAGCTGAAGGATGCCTATCAGGAATTATCAGGTGAATGATCTGACCAAGAAAATAGGATCAGCTAAAAAGATAAAGTATTTGAAAGAATATAAAATATACAGGCTAGCACGGCATCTCCAGTAAACCTACTGGTTTTGCCACTTGTCTTACTTTGACCCAGTTGGCATGTTTCATTTACACTATGAGGCCTGGTTTTGTTTGCTTGCGTTGTGATACCTTTAAAAGAAATGACACTTCACCACTGACCACTGGGTTTTGATGATCAAGAACAAACATTAGGAATTTTTGAATTTACAATCAACATGTCTATGATGCAGCACTGCATTTAAAAAAAAATACTAGGCAAGTATTCACTCCCTCCAGAAATGCAGGAGGAAGAAAACATGTATTTTCTTGTCTACACGAATGCTCTCCAGTAGAGACCAAACCTAAGGGCCATTAAAGTAAATGAAGAAAAAAAAAATAAAAAAAATAATTTTGAATTGGCTTTGAATTAGAATCCTCTTGAGGACCAAGACATTTTGGATGCCAAACTGAATTTCAGTTTTAGTATCTGGTACAACTTAATAGGCTGTAGAAGCACACAGCACACCAACAGTAATTTCACCTATATGATATACAGACCTATGACTAGAGAGCAACAACAGGTGTACTTACACACAAACGGGTAATACTTCCAAGATTATAAAATGAGTAGGACACAACTACATTTCATTTTATATTGTTCAGAGAAAATTGCATGCCATCATAGATCTTGTTGGTTTGAGTTACCAGAAACAGCACGTCATGTTTTCATGTTCTCAGTCTTTAATCTTTTGCTGGAATATGACTCATAAGACAATCCATGCAGCCTTCTACTCAGTAGTATAGGCAAAAATATTTCAGACGTCCTGCCTTAACACACATCTGTATGGATGCTACCTGTATAGAAGCCCACACAGGTAATTATTAATAGTTAGAATATCAAATGCATATGTTGTAAGCAAAATCAAAATAAAATTCAAGGTTCATTTGATATACAAATCTGCTCAGTTTTATAAAGCAGAGTTGTGTTCTTATCTAGGAATTGCCATCAGTGGATATGATCACTTCTTTTCTTAGGGTGACAGTTTATTTCTTTGATGTTGACAGGATTTATCCATTTGATAATTATTAAACTTGTGTCCCATGGGATGCGGACTACTGCCCTTCCATTTAATGAGATATCTAAATTAGCAGTTATATTTATGGCTTGGGAGGATAAAAATATCAGCGATTTCCATTCTAGCATAACTGCTTGTAAATTCATCCAGTTAAGCTTTGCCATCTGATCACCTACTTCTAAACATGTGCATGTATCCCCTTAACATTATCAATCATTTAAAAACAAAAAGTCAGTCTAGAATTTTACATTTGCTTTCAACACAGATCAAACATGGCTAAATAGCTCTCTTTTCCTTTCCTTTTTATTTTCATTTTCTTTTCTTTTTACTTTCCTTTTTTATATTTTTATTTTTCCTTTTTTTTTTTTTCCTTTTTTTGTCCTCTGTGTTTTTTTTTAAATACAAAACGTCTAAACTTGCACACGTTTTTCTGCCACCCTTACCACAGTAACTAGCAGAAAGTCCCTCCACGCATTTTGCCTCCGACCCAAACGCTGACCACAGGCACCCCGCACCACCACCAGTTCACGCAGCTATCACACGTCCCTGCTCCCTCCTGCAGCCCGGCCGGGCCTGGGGCAGGGGAAATTCTGCGCCCCCACCTCCCCTCCGGATGTTTTCCCCTCTCCAAGCGCTCATCCCCACCCCAACGCGGACACAGAACCGAACCCCCGACCCTAACGCGGCCGACCCGCCCCAACAACGGCGGGACCCAGCGGCGGACGCGGGACAACCCCTGCGGTGCGGGAGGTGGCGGCTCTGCTGGAAGGCGCCGCAGCGCCACCTGGCGGCCGCGCCCCGCCCCTGCTGCACCCGCGTTCTCCGCAAACTTCCCTTCTTCCACCGCACCCCCCCTGCCCCAAAAGCCGCGCTCCCGAACCGGCCGATGTCCTGGTCGCTCCGCCGCCTGCCCTCACCCCCGCGCGGGGCACCGGCACGGGCCCGTTCCCCGCCATCCCTCCACGCCGCAGCCGCTGCCCGGGGGCGCCCCCTTCCCCCCCGAGCCCTGCGCGCCAGCGGAAACGTGTGTGGGGTGCTGGGGCTGAACGGTGACTGCCGGCGCCTCCGCTGCTTCCCCCCCTCCCCGTTCCAACACCATCCGTGTGATGGGCCTGTGCCGGTCGGTCGGTGGGGGCTGCGGGGCTTCTCCCTTGGGGAAGGGGCAAACAGCGGCGGCGCCTCACGCCGCCAGCCCCCCCGGCTGTGCGGAGGGACGATTTACTGTCGGGCTGGGGTTGGGGGGGAGGGTGGTGCCTTTTTGTCTTTCTTGTTACTCCCGTTCTCCATTCATCAACCCGCGCCAGGGCTCCGCGCACGCTGGCTCTGCCCAGCGCTGGTTCCCCGCTCCACTGAGTGCGGATACCCATGCCCACCATAGGACCGGGCATTTTACCTCAGCCCACAGTGAGAAAAAGGGGGGGGGGGGAGAAAGAAACAAAAAGAACCATCGCGGTTCGGCTTTAGTCAAAGCGGGTGAACCGCTTAACCCAAAAAGAGACAGATTTCCTCTGAGCAGCAGCCTCCCTCCTTCTCCCCCCACCACCGTCTCCCTTCTGCCTCTCTGTGGTTGCGGAGGCGGCCAGGGAAGTGGTTAACCAGAGCCCTATGTGTTGGTTTTGTGTTTCCCCGATAACCAGAGGCGCACACAGGGCATGAGGTACCGCTCCTGCTCCTCTCCGCGCTGGCAGGGAACTGTGGCTTCGTTCTTTCCCTTGCTGCCTGTACTGCAGATATTTTTTCCCTCCTCTCCTCCACACTCTTCTGTTTATTTGGCTGTAAGGCAGAGCTACTTTGTAAACATCTCACACAGAACCCCAGACCCTTTCCAAATAGCTGATTGCAGCAAAATGCCTACAAACAAATTATGGTGCAAGAGGGCAATGTAGGAGACGAGACCGGAGCGGATTTAAAAAAAAAAAAAAAAGAAAAAGAAAAAAAAGAAGAAATTTGCATAAATATGCATATGTGACAACCAGATCGCAGATGATGGTGGAGATGGCAGAAAGAAAGTATCGCTTTATCACGATGGGAAAAGTAAAAGCACAGACGACTGCAGCAAACTGCTCGCCCTTTGCCAGAGTAGCAACTGCAACACCTCTCCCTCTCCCCCACCCTCGCGGGGGAAAAAAAATAGAGAAGAAAGGTAGGGGGAAGCAACAGAGAAAAACGAAAATGAGCACTCGAACGGCAAATCCAGCACTCCTACCTTAACACCGGAATAGATGCAGCACAGGGGTCTTTTTCACAGATTCTTTCGGGAAATCCTCTCGGGCTATCATGCAGCCGAGATTATTCACACACGGTTCCTGCTCTTGTTTTTGGAATCCAACGCGATTCCCTTCTCCAAAGGAATGCAACGACGACGAAGGGGGGGGGGGGGGGGGGGGGAGCGAATAAAAAATTAAAAATAACGACAAGAAAGACAGCAGCACTGAAATTGGAGGAAACTCGTGTTCTCGGTTGTAAGAGATCTACATTCGGGCAGAAAATTCATTGCAATCAGTGCGAGAGTGAGAGTTGGATCTGCGAGCCGGAGCCGTGATTGCCTATGCAGAGAAACCGAGCCGGGAGAGACTGATCTGCAAGGCGAGGCGAGCTGGGAGGGAGAGGGGGGAGAGGGAGGGGGGGAAGAGCGGGTGGGGGGGAGAGGTCCAGGCTGTACCAGGCGCTCTCCTCCTGCGATTGGACCAAACTGAATGAAATTTGCGAAGCCAGCAGCCAATGGCTCCCCGCCGCCGGCCCCATCGCTACAGAAACCCCGTCTCCATCCTCAGCCCCGGCCCGGGAGCGCCGCAGCCCCGGGGAGCGGGTATCGGCCGCCGGCGCCGGCCGCCCGGGGAGGGGGCCTGTGCACACCGCGGGGTGAGTGTGCCGGTGTGCGGGTGTCGATGCCGGGGGGGAATCACGCTGTTTAGGCTGTCGCTCTCCTTGCTCCGGGATCGCGTTCAGCAAGTGCGGTCTCTGTTAACCCTTGAAAGCTGCAGCCTCTACAGTACCAGGCTGTCGTTACCATGTTCCCCAAGATGCATCTGCAAGCAGCTAACAGTATAATTGCATACCAGCCACTGAAGCGTTTTGTTCCTGTTGCCTTTCCTCCCATACAAAAAAATAACAAAGTAGACATTTGCCCAGTGTCCAGTCATTTTATTTCAGTTGTGGTTGGGGTTTTTGTGTGTTAGATTTTGGTGGTTGGTGGTGGTTTTGGTTGATTTTGCTTTGGTTGATTTTTTTTGTTGTTGTTTTTTCCCCACAAAGAGACCAGTTATTTAATGTCCCTATTTTAGTTAGCTAACCACTGTTGTGAAGGTCAAGTGTAAGGGCTGAAGAGGAGGGCCTGTGGTTACTAAGTACTACAACGCAGGGTCTCCAGTTCACTTCCCATGTATAATTTCAGACTGAGGGTGGTGTAGCAAATATGTGCTCAGGCCTCCAACAGATGCACCTTGTTTCACTCCACAGCATGTTGCTTTGATGGGTTTAATAACAGCACTTAACATTACCCAGAGCACAAGACCCTGCACTGAGATCAGGTGAGGACTGGCTGATTTCTATGAGAACAAAACAGAGAACAAAGAGGTCTTGAAGATCTTTCCATAATTTGAAGCAAAAATCATATTCATGCCTTGAGGAGACTTCCTGACACAAGACTTCTATTAGACTTCATAAGCTGAGTCTCTGACATTTTCACATGCTGAAGGAAAGGACAAAATAAATTAGAAGCTATTCTTTTCTAGATGCTTTGCTTCTACCACAATGTCAGATCCTCAGAAGAGAGCAGATAGTGCTTTGTTTTCTCAAATCTGAGTTCTGGCTGTGATATTTGGCTTATCAATTACTTCTATGTTCTCCTGTTTCAAGTGGTAAAGGAATATATACTATCTGATCTAAAGATACCATCTAGCAGACAACAGTAGGCCTGTTGTGTGTCTGTTCTTATATAGTGTTTTGTTATATGGTATTCATTCAGTATCATTTAGGAAGGCATGTTTTGGTTTTGAATGTTGTAAATCTAAGTACAGGTGTAATTCACTGACTTAAAACATTTGAAGCAGTGCAATAGCTACGTTAAACTGTTAACTTATTTGTCAGTGAAATAATTATTTTTATATTCCTTAATTATATGTTTTGCATTATTTTAAGTGACTCTTAACAGCAGGTGTTCATGAAAGTGAATTCTACTGCTTTTGTCATTTTAATAACTCACGCAGAATGTGCAACCAATCATATGGCTTGACTGAGTGAACATTTTGACACATTTAGAAAAGATGTCATCTTGCACTGCCATCTGTCCCAAATTTTGCAGGACAGTCTTTATTTTGATGAGTATGTCATGTATTTTACAAGATAAATTTGGAGGATATTAAAGTATGCACTAGTTAATCTGAATAATGATCTCCCACCTGTGTTGTAATATCAGAAGGCAATTTATTGCAGGTTACAAAAGGATTATATCTAATATTTGCAACTAGTGGTTGCAACTGTGAACCAAATATTCTCAAACACAGCAATAAAGCTAAACTTTCCGCAGACTCTACACAAGTAGGCAACCAAGGATTTTAGTGAAAGGTGTTTGCTCAGAACAGTGGGATGTACTCATCTCCTCTTACAACTTTCAAAAAGCTAAATGTACAGTTGGAAGCTGTGGCTTATCTGGGAGGTTATCTGCAGCAATCCACTGCATATTTTATAACAGCAAGCAGGAGCCCAGGAGCAATCATTCAGGGAGAAGAATGCCACTTGCTAAGTAACACTGTATCTTCTTACAAGGAGGCATTGTGTTATAGTATTAACCCAACTCAACTCGACTTGTAAACGGTGAAATCTAAAGAAATCACAATACTGACAGTCTGACTGAAGACAGGCCAAACTCTCCTGGGTTCCATCCTGTGCAACTTCTTTTTGTGTGTCAGTCAAACTGAGGCATGATTTAATCTCCCATGTTCAATCATAGTGAAATTTCCACAATTTTTTCTGTAGCAAGAAAGTATAACAGAAGGGAAGGGAATTGCATTCCAATTACCTTTTCCTTAGCACTTTTTACTAAAACTTTAAGTGTTGTTTTCTCCTTCTGAGAAAGGTCCAACCCCCAAAATACTGTAGATGTGGATAATAGCACAGAAAGTTCACTTCATATATTTAGGTCCTTTTTTTTTAGGGAGCAAAATACAGAAATTTCTCATTATACCCTTCCTGAGATGCAACCTTAAGTTTCATAAAGGGGTTACAGATATTGACTTTAACAGAGCCAGTGTTTCAGTCCTATAAGAGTGGAAACTGTTGCTGGGCTCTGGACATCCTTCTGTAAAGTCAAAGCTAGAAGAGACCATTATAATTGTCTACAGAGATCTTTCATATAATTTCAGTTTAAGTGCTTCATCAGTTTGTTTTTTAATTCTCAGGTTTGCTTCTTTGGTTTTGGTTTGGTTTTTTGGTTTTCGTTTTTTCGTTGTTTTTTTGTCAGTTGGTTGTTTTTTTTCCCATAAAGTCATCTATTTGCTGTTGAACTAAAGTATGTGAGTTTTTCCTTAAAAATAATTATAATAAAAAAATAAAATAAAATAATTAAAAGTTTTCAATTCCACAACATCTGAGTAAATTTTACCAGTGCCTAATTATTCTCACTTTCAAACTCACATTCCTGACTTGCATTCCTACAGAATTGAACTTCACTTTGGATTTGTCTATTGAATTAAAGAGCCTTTTAGTATTAACTTCTTTTTTAGAACTTATATACTTTACAGATCATTATTAGTCAACCTTCTAACCTCCTTATTGTTGAGATAATTAGATTCTGTTTCCTTAGTCTCTTACTACAAGGCTTTCCAGACTATGATTCATCTTTGCAAGGCTTTTTTCAACCTTACCATTTATCATTATCCTTTTAAAAGTGTAAACTCTGGAATAGGATATGGATTTGTCACTGAGGTCCTATTAATACAGTCCTTTACTCAAACTCTCATTTTTATTTTTACAAGGATCACATTTGATCTTGGCCTTCATGTGTGCTGAGAACTCATGTTCCTAGTTTCTAATCATGATTTCAGCATTTTTTTCCTCTGATTTACAAAAATGCGTTCTCTTGTTTTAAAGTGAGACCTGTATTCTCAGTTTAGCTATAGATATCATTCTATAAAGAAATCAATTTACAATGCTTGGATGTTTCCTAACGTTTATGGAAAACTGGTTGCTATTGATATTTTTCACTATAGATAGTATTTGCAAACTTCTCCTGCAATTATTTAATATTTTCATTGAGATCCTTACCAAGATCCTACATGCTTAGCCTTTGCTGGAATTTTTCCACAAGAAAAAGAGAATAACAATGAAAAAAGCTAATACTTGCTCTGTGAAGACCTTCCCTCAGTTATCAGTGTGCTTGTCTGAACTGGAAACTTCTTGAATACCCTCTCTTTGCGTTCATGATTATTCAAAACAAGGCTCTTCCTTTTATCTGAAACTAGACCTAATTAGGGAGACAAACTCCTGATCAATATTTGGCAACACCACAATAGCAGCTTTCCTATAATGTAGTGTGTTTAATCTTGAAAATATCACTCAGACACAAATAAGTTAATCATGAGATCAATAATTAACTTATGGCTATTTTCAGTTTGCATGTTTGGAAATATGTGGAAAGGGTATACAGCATGTTTCTGTGCAATATATTCTGGACAGCAGAAAATGTGCTCTACCTATGCAGCTTGCCCAGAAACCACAGCATCTAATCAACACAGCACAAGGCCTGAGGTGATATTTATAATGATAGCAAGTCAAGACAATCCTTATGCAGACTCACAGCCCATATCCCTGTTGCCTTTCAGGTCTGCATCTTTGGAGAATGGACCCTTATATCTTCTGTATTAGGTTCTATATAGGTACAGTGCAATTAGGCTGCTTGAGTGCTATGGTAGTTAATATGATTAATAGCATTAAAAAAGCTCCTACTGCAAGCAAACAGGCAAAACCATGTCTTCTTAAATAATAAGCTGAATTATTTCCTGTGCTTTAAAAACAGTCTTTTTTTTTTTTTTGGGGGGGGGGGTATATGGTTAGAATTTTATTCAGATTAATACTTGTGGTGGATTTCCATGTACCATTCACATAAATGCTGAAAGTGCAGTCTGCCCTACATAACCATAGAAATCTTGATTTGATCTTGACAAATGTGGTTTGTAACTTTCATTGGTATAAAAGATTGAGCTAACCAGAGGCTAGTTATCCACCCCTGCTTCCATTCTCTTTTAGATTAGAAACAGACACGAAGTGCCTTGAAGTCAGATCTTACAAGCTCTGTATAACCTTTTAAGTATTAAAGTACTATGCTGACTGAGGAGTTATTAATATTAGAAAGAATTATTTATAGTATAATTTAAGGATTAGAGAAAAGCATGTGCCTAACACCATATAGAAAACAAAAAACAATTTACCAGTATGTGTGTGCATCTTTAACTGCACTTGAATAGCACAGGAAAGAGAGCAGAAATATCATTAAATGAAAGCAAAGAGAAATGAAATACAGTCCCTAAATACCTAATGCTAATGTCACCTCTGAATGTGACAATCATTCACAAGTCAGCTCTCTTCAGCAATTCAGGTTTCATCCACAGCCACAGTATTAAGGATGTGGATGTTCAAAACCAAACATAATAGCTCTGCAGGTAACTCCTTTGACAACTGGTGGTCTGTAAGATGCTGCTCACAGACCTGTGGACTTCAAAAGAATGCTATAGCTGCAAGCTTCAAATGGCAAGTAAATTTTCTGCAAAAATAATTCTTATAAATTGTTAGAAAATGTCTTGCTTTTGGACTACAAA